CTGCTCTATTGTTCCAAAGTGACTGTCCAAAGCTCAATATTGCTAAGTGCTGCCATTAAAAAAAATAAAAAACAGAAGGCATTAGGACAGTCTGAAATGTAATCCTTTCAGCTACAAGCAGAATAAATATAGCACAGACTGCAGATGGCTGCAGAACAAGACATCCAGAGCGATCTGACAATCTGTGCGCTTTCGGGAGGTGAGTCTTAAGCACCGCTCTGCCTCTCCCCGTCATTTTCCTGAACCAGGGAACGGTTCAGCTGCTCCTCTTCCTGCAGCCCCGCCATTCCCCTTCAAATGTTGACCCTCTGCAAGGTCACCGATTCTCTGTTCATTAGCAATTCCAGGTCAGCCTGCGATGAGAATCTCCTCGTTCAAGAGAGGATTACGTTCTGTGTCAATGTCTCCAGGCAGCAGCCCTTCCCGAGCTTTCAGCAAGTCCAGACGCTGAGGGTCCCCGTCTTTGATGATCCCTCAGAGGACCTGTATCGATACTTTGAGCGCTGCAGCGATGCCATAGAGGGCGCAGTCCAGAGTGGTGGGAAGTGCTTAGTGTACTGTAAAAACGGCCGCAGCAGATCTGCTGCCATCTGCACTGCCTACTTGATGAAGCACCAAAATCTCAGCCTGAAGGATGCCTTTGAGGTATTGTGAGCATGCAGGAAAAATAACTATCTTGTTCTATAGCTCGGTGGTTGATGCTGAAATGCAGAAGCATTTGTATTTCAACTGGGCAAGAGCATCTTACTTTCTAATTTGTAATGCTTTGCATAACAAAAGTTATTGCAATAGTTCTGATTCAGTTTTGTCTCTCCAAGGAAAGTGTCATAAGGATAAGAAAGGCGATTAATTTTAAAGGCAGTCTAATTTCCTTCTTAGCTGGGCGAATAAAGCAAACTCTGACTGGAGATTGTTGGGGGTGTTTTTGCCCAATGAAATTCCAATGGCAAGCAAATTCTGAATTGTCAGATTCAGGAGTTTAAACTCCTGTAAAATAAAATCTGGCAACATTATACAGGAGGTTTTGCAGCTTTCTCCCTATGCACTTTAAAATAAAATAATAATAATACTCAAGCATTTCAGAAATATTGTATGTTGTTTAGTCAAATTTATTAAGTTAGTCAAATTTATGCAAAGGAGGTTTCCAAAGAATGTAATAGTTGCTTGTGGCATGGACACGTTTCACACTATTACCTCTGCCAGACAGGTGCTTGTTCTCTTACAAATAGCTACTTGACCAGAGGCAACAGTAAGGGCTTCTACACATTATTTTAAATGAGTGTACAATGTGTGCACACATTACTTGAGCTGTACACTCATAGTTATTCACATGCAACATTTAATGAGTGCATAGTGTGTGTGTAGCTATGTACACAATAGCTGAGTTGTACAGATCAAGTGTACACTCTTTCACATCAATAGTTGCAGTGACAGCTTGTACCTCAGTGTAACAGGTGTGAACAAGCTGAGTGAGACAAAAATGTGTGTACACCATTGGAAGTTAATGCCACTCACATGTTGCTTTCAACTCTCTTAAAAACTATTGCCTGTTTCTAGCATTAGTACAGACCTCTGTTGTATTGCCAGAAAACTAGTTTTGGGGAGCAAAAGGGTGGCAAGGACTACAAACAGCAACAATTTGGTTCTTTTTGCCAGGACCTTAATATACTATGGCTGTATGTACACCATACATTTAAAGTGCAGGGCTTCCCCCAACTCTAGGAACTGTAGTTCATTCACCACAAAATTATAATTTGCAGCAGCCCTTCCAAACTACAGTGCCCAGAATTCTTAGAGGGAAGAAATGTGCTTTTATATTGTGTATATGGTGTGTAGCAAATGGTGATGAATTTTCATGAGGACTTTTTCTTGAAAAAGTAATAATAATAATAATAATCCAAACTGATATAGAAATGTGGAAAACCGAACTTAAGATTGGAACAATGCAAAACTGGTAGAAATCTAAATTGACAAATTTGCCCATTCCTATAGACTGCTATGATGAGATGTATTGTATGTCTGTTAAATTTGCAGTCATTATTTATGAATTTGCATCTGTGCATATAAATTAGCACATAAATTTATGTCACTCTGTGCCTTCTTTTCAGTGATACTGTTCCACTTTTAGGGCAACTGTAAATGGCCAGCCTGTGGGAAAGTCACTTCCTTTGTGTGTAATACATTTCTTTTTTTCCTCCCTGTAGATTGTGAAGATGGCCAGGCCGGTAGCAGAGCCCAATGTTGGCTTTTGGTCCCAGTTACAAAAATATGAAGGGCATTTACAAATGCAGCATCAGATGGATCCTTCTCGAAAAAGAACTTCGCAATAAACATTTTTGTTTTGATCCAGACTGTGGTGCGGGGGGAACTCCTTGAAGGAGGTGTGTGTGTCCTAAGAGCTTGGAAAGATTGTAGATGCCTCCAGACTGTCAGTATTGTTGGTGGCAAGGAAAAAATATAGGTATACAGAAAGGAGAATTCTGCAGATGCCAAGATCCAGTTTTGTGGCAAGTACTCTTTGGTGAGAGAACCCCAGCAGAGATTTAAAATCACAAAATATACAGCAAGGTAAAGCATGGAAATGTAGGCCTTTAGGCCTTTAAAATATGTCTTTCTGAGTTCCAAAACTTCCCTCTTCCCTTAGCATAGAAAAAGACCACATTTTTGGTAAATTAAAAATGATTTACTTACAAACTATCCAATAGTCAGGTTCCTGCACTTCAGAAAAAGTTGCACAGGCAATAAAACTTGGCTTAGTTAAAGTGGTAAAGTTCCTAAATTACTGGTATAGGAACTCAAGAGTAGAGTGGCCATGTGGTCTGAGCTGCAGAAACCAACTTAGACCTCCTCACACATTGAGCCTCTCAGGAAGACTGGTTGAACAATAGGCTTGATTACCTAGTCCCTCTCAAGCTGAGGGGAAGTGACCTCCTAAGCCTGGCAGGGCAGCTTACTCTATGGTATTAACCCCTTAGAGTTAAGCATGGTTATATGAGGCTGGTTATCCCACAAGTACGGTATTTTGTGGGAGAGATTCAAGTGTGTGCAGGAGCTTATGCTTGCACAATCAAAGTGGATTAAAGCGATTAAAGCTATCAGTTGTCCTACACAACATACCCATTTTTAAAAATGAACTTTTTTGCTTTTTGGAAAATGAAGGAGAAAGCCTTTGAAAAGTGTGTGATTAACAAATGGTTGATGGTGAAACATGTAATCACCTCATAAGCAAATCAGGATGATTGATCATTGAATGGCAAACACCTGGCAAACAAATCAGAACAAATGATCAATAAAGACTGAGCATAGTCTAGCCTCTGTTTAACAGCAAATCAGAATGGATGCTCAAAAGTCAGGTTGCCCAGACTCGCTCTGTGACTGATAACCATCAGCATGCTTCTCATCTGCCTAGTTCCTGAGGAGCCTTTTTTGTGGACTGCTCAGAGGTCACACAGACATCCCCCAAAACATTATTCTTTGGAACTTTAGTAGTCCCTGAAGCCACAAAATAAATGTTGCACAATTGAGGTCAAAATGTGGCTATGTGCCCCTCCAGATTGGAGGGCTTTTGTGTGTGATTCTTGGGTGTTGTTGGTATCCATCTTTGAAAAATGATGCACAATGTTGGCACTCTATTGCATTACTCAAGACTGAAAATTTATTTAAAATGTGTTTTAATGCAACACTGCTTCATTTGTTTTATTTCACCAATAGATATGTGTTTTGAGCATGTTGCGAGTGCCCACTGGCATGACTGACAATCACCTGTATTTAAATAAAAGTTTCTACTCTCATGTGAAACATACATTATAACAGCTGGCTGCAAAGTTCATAATAAGGAAGGACAGAACAACAAATAATGGCCTTGGGCAAGATGAAAACTGTCTTTGCGAATATGTAAAATATATCAATCTACTCTTATCTGCATTTTATGCCTGCATTTATGATTGCCTGTAGCTATTTGTCTACATTAAAATCATATCAGTATTTTCCTTTTCGATTAACAGTACTCTGCTAGTGAATTGGCATATTTTTCTGAAAGTGATTATGATTGATGACTGATTATACAATACGAATAAAGTATTTAGGGTGTGTAAGTAGTAATCTTAGTTTCTTAGTGATGGCTGAATTTTTACATGCAAGGCAGCTTAATCATATACTTGTAGAGTTGGAAGGGACCCTAAGGATCACCTAGTCCAACCCCTACAATACAGAAATATGCAGCTGTACCATACCAGCAACCTTGGTGTTATCAGCACCATGCTCTAACCAAGCAGCTTAATAAGAGGGAGGGTTCTGTTTTGAGAAGAGAAAGGGTGAGTTCTTATCTTTCCCACCTGCTGGCTGTTTTTCAACTCCCAATCCTGCTCCCATCTGCTTCAGTACACACACAAACAGCTCCCCTACCACTCTTCTTCTTTGAAAAAAGGCCAGGGCTTCTTTTAAGTGTAACATGTTGTTTATCCCTACCCTAAGCCAGGAACTGCATACCTTTTGGGGTCAGTGGGCACACTGGGTTTTATAAGAAATTGTAATGGGTGCCAGTGACTGGTGGGTGGGCAGTGGTGGTGGTAAGGCATAACACACAAGAGCTGCCACATCTAAACGAGCAGCAGAAGATATAGGCCCCTAAAATGGTCCCCATCCATGGAAAAGTGGATGGCCCTACATCAGCCTCTGCTACACTCACAGAGCAGCTTTTTGTATCTCTCCTGTTCAGAACAGAAGGGAGGGTGTCTAATCCTGGCCTACAATGGAATGTGGGCATATTTAAGGAGTGTTTGTTCAGCGTAGGGGAGACTGAGCCTGTGCAAACAGAAACTGAGGAAGAAGAGCAAACAACTCTCTCATTTATTGAGGATATTTACTCGAGGCCTACTTACTCGAGATCGTTTGGTGGGGTGGTCGCGCAAGCAGCACACTGGCTATCTCTGCCTAAGTTCATGGAAATGTGGGCCCCAATGTCTAACGGTGGGTAAAATAACACACAAGAGAAGCAAAACTTTGTTATAAAGAAGCAAAAACTCTAGGTTTATTGAATATACACAAACAGTAAAGATGTTAGCACTCGGTAGAACATACATTCATAAGCAGCAGGTCAAAACATGTAACAAAGGTTCTGCACAAAAAGTCTCTTTAACAGGAGCTCTGGCCAATGAGAGCTCTGTGATGCAATGCCTAAGTGAAGTGAATGAGAATGTTTCCCCTTCGAATCTTGCCTCCATCACAACCTTGGTAGGAGCAAATTTCCCTCTCTCTTCCTCAGCCCCTTCCTCCATCTGCAGTGTGGGGATTATCCTGATCAACCATGCAGAACTGTTGTAATGGTTACAGAGATAATATGTGTGTGAAGCACTCTGGACACTCTAAAGCACTATGCAAATACTGTGGTACCAATATTATTAAGGTCCATGATAACTTGTCAGAATCAGTTCATTCCTCATATAGTGTTTGCATATTGTGTGGTTAAATACTGAATCCTTCAGAGAGAGATAAGACGTTTTATTCCTGAAATGATCCTAAGTTTACAGTGTTCCCTAGTACAATGAGACAACATGACAAACTAAATAAATGTAGATAAACTAGACAAAACTAGATAAAAAACACCTCCTGGGTGTTATTTTTTTGTTTTTGTTTTTGGGGGGGTTGGGAATATGCTAACATGTTACATATTATTTTTCTTTACTAGGCTAGTCCTCATACACCCAAATGACACTGTAGCTTAAACTATTACCAGAAGGAAATTCTACATATATGTAAAATGTCTGTTGAAAGTGGAATATGGAAATGGGAATGGAGGGCTTAGATGTTATACAGTAATGAGTTAGAACATATGAAACATTTTAAAATCTAAACGTAGTCTTTGGCAGATGTGACTGTCTCGGACTGTTTGATGTAAATACGTGCATCCTTGCCTTGCCGGGTAGCAGCATACTTGTAGTCTCTGTAATTAAAAAGAGGTGTCAATGTGCTGCTGCTCTCTCATTCTTTCATTCTCTCTATTTTTGAGAAATTTAACTGAGTCAGGCATGTCAAAGTACAAGTAGATAAACAGGTACCACTCCGGCGGGAAGGTAAACGCCGTTTCCGTGCGCTGCTCTGGTTCGCCAGAAGCGGCTTAGTCATGCTGGCCACATGACCCGGAAGCTGTGCGCTGGCTCCCTCGGCCAATAAAGCGAGATGAGCGCCGCAACCCCAGAGTTGGGCAAGACTGGACCTAATGGTCAGGGGTCCGTTTACCTTTACTAGAGGTTACAATCCAATCCTATTCATGTTTGCTCAGATGAAAGTCCCATCATTTTCAGTATTATTTCAGGCATTTCATTGCATATGTTATATATTTTCAAAATGCTTAGAAAGCAATATAAACACTTGGGGTTCGTTACCAGACAAAACAGACAGCTCAGTGAAATCTTTAACAATCTCATTGATACTTTTTACTCTTGTAATAGCAATTGGTCAACTACCTGTGTTTTTCTTTGCATGCTGAACATGTCAGGAAGATCCCACCAAGTATAGAAAGGAGGGAACCAGCCCAGCCTAAGTACAGTGCATATCCCAGCTCATATCTGGAAAAAAATGATTTCGTAGAAGCATCATTACAATCAAATCAGATACATTTTGCCATATTTTTCTAATGTAGTGGCTGCCAGTGGGAAAAACATCGAGTATAGGAGGAGAAAGCTAGGAGATATGACCAGCCGCTCTCCAGGTTATTTCTGCAGAAGGCAGGAAAATGGGTTTTGTCTCAAACAGATGATCTGCAAACACTGAGGTGGGTCAAAGCAGGGCTTTCACCTACAGTAATCATTTAAACACCACCACCCCCCGCAACCTATCTTCTTTTATGGTTGTCAGAGACATTAATTCCTCTGTCCTTTGGTCACATTTCAGCATGACCAACATACTGAAATCAGGAACTAGGCCAACAGGAAGCAGCAGAATGTTACTGAAGCATGCATTCAAAGTATTCTTATGAATCTCATCATTTTTTGCTAAGAAACGTACAATGCAAAAAAGATTAAAGCCAAATGTTAGTTTCATGTGAGTTTTAACAATGCCTAAAGCCATTTACTGGAGGACGCGGGTGGCGCTGTGGGTAAAAGCCTCAGCGCCTAGGGCTTGCCGATCGAAAGGTCGGCGGTTCGAATCCCCATGGCGGGGTGCGCTCCCGCTGCTCAGTCCCAGCGCCTGCCAACCTAGCAGTTCGAAAGCACCCCCGGGTGCAAGTAGATAAATAGGGACCGCTTACTGGCGGGAAGGTAAACGGCGTTTCCGTGTGCTGCGCTGGCTTGCCAGATGCAGCTTTGTCACGCTGGCCATGTGACCCGAAAGTGTCTCTGGCCCCGGCCTCTTAAGTGAGATGGGCGCACAACCCTAGAGTCTGTCAAGACTGGCCCGTATGGGCAGGGGTACCTTTACCTTTACCTTTAAAGCCATTTACATATTGCAGTTACTGAACTGAGTTTTTTTTAAACAACAACATGCAAGTCTGTAAACTTACTTGGTTCCACCATAAAATGAATCAAAAAACTGAGCTGTGATCCTTTCTGCATACCAAGAAATAGCAACCATTGATGAGAGACCTAGGGAAACAATACAGATCCATTTTAATGGAGCGAACTAATGAATTCCACAGCCTTGCCTTACAGAAATAACATGTACGTAAATATATTAAAGTCATCAGCTGACTAATGAAATCCTACGCAGCCTCATGAGTTTCAGCTGAATACTCAATCAAGCTGAGTTGGTTAATTTGCTCAGGGCTGCTGGATGGATGTGTTTCTGCATCATTACATTGTGTTGAATAAGATGGCAATTGAGTGCCTCCCCTTTCCTATTATTCCACTGCTTCTCAAAAATTTTTCTCTGGGCCACATATAAAAATTTGCATGCACCACATAGATTTTTTTTTATCAAGAAGAAATACATTGGAAAACAAAAAGAAACAACTAGCAGTGCTTGATTTATAACACAAAACCCAACTACTTTATAATATGATCACGGGGCATCCAGAAAGCATAAAACAATGCAGCTGCATAAGAACATTAACCATTCCCAAAATAGAATTATAAACACATCTTCTCCAGCACTCTGTTCTAATGGCGATTCTGAATCACTAGTAGGGTTGTCCTCAAGATCTCTCATTTAGAAAAGTTATCAATTCATATTCTTCAAATAAAAAAGCATTATTTTGATACTACACTATACTGAAATGTTTAAATGTTTCTTTGATTGCCCTTGAATCCTCCAGCCACACCAGCATGGTGCACAACATCCTTTGAGAGCCACTGTATTATTCCATTAGCTTTATTTTTTTGGTGCACGGTCTACCGATATCTCACCTGCTAAAATGAAGACCATTCCCCCCAGCATGGCAATTTTTGATTTTGCATTTTCACTGTTGGATCCAAGCTGAGTGCACTTCAAACCAAGCAGTGTCAGCAGAGTCCCACACATACCCAAGATGAGTGAAGTGATCATCAGGGCCCGACATGCTTGAATATAAGCTGCAGAGGAAAGAAAATTTTGTCAAGAAAGGTATTTCAGCAAAGGACATGTCAAACAGCAATACATGCCCACTGATCCAAATGTGTGGCTGCTGGGAGCAACAATGGGCTGATGGTACTATATATATATATATATATATATATCTATATCTGGTTTAATAGAAAGCAATATCAGGAAGCCCATAGAGGCAGATGTGAGATTAACCAGCCCAAACTATGATTCCACCCTAGAGGAAATCTCTCAAGCCCTTAGACTGTCAGAAACATCTTACATTACCCACATGTATGTGAATCTGTCTTTTGGTCTGTCTTCTCCTCTGAGAGTTGCCCAAATTCCCCTTCCTTTTAAGAAATACATTGAGGATATCACTGTTCCTCCCTTCTTTAGGGAGTCATCTATGCCTTTGAGATATTAGAAGCCATTGCACCAATCCTCATGCTCATCTCATACCTGTTTGCATGCTTAGCAACCAACATAACAAAGGGAAGGAGCAAAGAATGATGGTGGACAGATCTGGAAGTAAATGGTCAAGACTGAATGCAAGCATACAGAGATGAGCAACAACCAGCATAATTATTCTATATGCAAACTTCTCCACCATCTGGTGGTCATTTTGCCCGTTTAATGTTTGAAGCTATTCTCTCCATCCCATATTTGGTTTGCAAAGCCGTTTCTATTTATATCTTGACTCTGCGTAGCTCAGCAGCACTGACATCCCAATTACTCATTCATTCATTCATTTAAATTTATATACCACTTGATTGTAAAAAACCTCAAAGCAGGTTACTAAACAAATACAACACTAAAATTATTAGTAAAAACAATTAAAACATTCAGGCTGGGGGCTGGTGGAGAAAAAACAAAAGCAAATTTATGATGTAGTGAGAAATTCTCTAGAATACTATCCACCGGTAAGTATTGATTCATAAAGTAACTTATTAATCCACTGTACCAATGAATAGGAGTTGCAGCACATGATTAATGAATCAAGTGACAAGAACAGGTGACAAATAAATGTAAGCCACATGTTTTCTGTAGCTATTATGCAACTGAATTCTACGCTATCATCTAGCATTATCATACTCTTTAATGAGCGTCTGGTGGTTCTATAATGTAAACTTATCTATGTAGTTTGCAGGTTTCAAACAACAACGTATATACCTAATCTGCCATGGCACTGCAGGTGAGGGTTTCCTGGGGACACCACCAGGAGGTCCATTCCACACAATGCACAATGTAGGAATTGGGTCTTTAGTGTTGTGGCCCCTATCCTGTGGAATCCCCTCCCCTCAAATGTTAGATAGGCATCATCTTTTGGTGCCTACTGAAGGCTTTCCTCTTTCAACAAGTCTTTCAGCAAGTTGAGGCCTCTGCATCTGTAGCAGAATTGCTTTAGATATGTTTTAAGGATGTTTTTATTGTTTTGTCACTTGTTGTTTGCAACCCTGGGATGATTTACGAGGAAGAGTGGGATATAAATTTAACAGCAATAATAACAGGATAAATAGTCCATTTATGTATGGTATGAATCAGCCAAAGTTAGGAATTTTACATAAGAAGTTGTCTTTTCTCTTCATTTTAGTGTGGGAAATGGTCATACTCAATGTCTAGGATTCTGAGATAGTTAGGGTTCCTTTTCCCTCTCAAGATCAAGGTATACATTCTGTGAGATATGCTGACTGCTTAAATTTAACTTTGCTGTTGAAAATCCACATCCATATACTCTGTCACTTTTGTTTCAAGTAACCAACCAATCTTTATTTATTCCTCATTTGTTAATTTCTTGTGAGCATAAAATCAAGGGCAGGAAACATAGTCTTAACATACAAATGTTTAAAGATCTTAAACTTTTTGGGAGTGTGTGTGGGATATATGTGGGAGGTGGGCACGCATGGAGGTTCAGACATAACATACACACCCTAACGCTACTGCTGGTCTTTGTAGACATTTGTATACATTGAACCAGAATTTATATACCACTTGATTCTAACAGTGTCCTCTTTTCACCTCCATTTTTCTGGTGAGGCAGTACCTCTTTTTCGGTCATTCCTAAGCAGCCACCTTACCTCCTGCCTTGCTTTTGGCAGCAAATCCAGAGGCAGTCCAAGGTATAATTGCCACCCCAAAGTTTATTATGAAACAGGAGCAAAGCATAACGCTTGATGATCAGATATTTTATTTTTAAGAATACATTTCTAGTTCTGGCAGATACTTTCACTGGTTTAATAAGGACAGAAACTGTGGACTTGCTTGTTTTGGAATCCTTTTAGTTAAAAGGCTATTTTTAAGTCTCAATCTAGCTCTTCCCCTCCAGACTCAATTCACAAAGCACTTATGTGCAGTCAGAGCACAAAGAAGGAAGGAAGCAGTATTGTCCCTCTAATGGTCAGCAAAATAAAGGCATTTTTTTTTAAAAAAGAAAGAAACCTGGAACCTCCTTTAGAAAGCAGGGAAGTTTTGAGCAAAATATATATTTAATGGCACACCATCAAAGCAAAGCTACTTTCTTCTAAAAATTAGAACCCAGACGCAGAGAGTAGAAGCAGAAAGAAACAAGGTCAAGGACCATTCAGTTCAATCTTCCAACTAATTGCATAATAATTGCCGCAAGAAGCATGACTAGGCTGCCCCTGTGCATACATGGATCTATGTGAGTACTTCGTATAAAAGGTAAGGTAAAGGGACACAGGTGGTTCTGTAGTCTAAATTGCTGAGCCTCTTGGGCTTGCTGATTGGAAAGTCAGCAGTTCGAATACACGTGACAGGGTGACCTCCTGTTGCTTTGTCCCAGCTCTTGCCAACCTAGCAGTTCGAAAGCATACCAGTGTGAGTAGAAAAATAGGTACTGCTGTGGCAGGAAAGTAAATGGCATTTCCGTGCGCTATGGCTTCTGTCATGGTGTACCAGAAGTGGTTTAGTCATGCTGGCCACATGACCTGGAAAGCTGCCTGCGGAAAAATGCTGGCTCCCTTGGCCTGAAAACGGAGATAAGCGTCGCAACCCATAGTCAAATTCGACTGGACTTAACAGTCCAGGGATCCTTTATCTTTTTAACCTTTACTTAAAAATACAAAGGGGAGAGGGACCCCTCACTAATGGCTTGCATCCCATGACTTGAGGCACATTATTTTGCTGAGCAACCAAACCAGCCCACTTTCTCACTGCAGCTTCTGTGCCATAATCCATATGGTCCCAGAGGGGACTGCAGTGGGGAGCAGGGATTGGTAAAAAACAGGCACCCTGAGCATGCACAGTGCAAAGCCACCACTGGATACAACCAAACAAAACTTCACAGTTTTGATGGCTGGTTGCCTGGACATCATACTTATTTCCCACAAGCATCAAGGAAGTAGCTATTTAGATGCCCAAATTCAGTTAGACCTATCAGGGGGCTACCATAGGGACCAGTGTGCCCACCAGTACCCTCTATGGCAGGGGTTGTCAACCTGGTCCCTACTGCCCACTAGTGGGTGTTTCAGGATTCTAGGTGGGCGGTAGGGGGTTCTATGGCACAAGCTGAATCCTCCTTCCATCGAGCACTGGTGGGTGGTAAGGAAATTTTAACATCAAGAAAGGTGCATTAGTGGGCAGTAAGTGTAAAAAGGTTGACTACCCCTGCTCTATGGTATGCATGAAAGGGCTCAGTAAATCTTCCCTTAAAAATCCACAATGCACAAGGAACTGTTTGCTCTTCCTGCTCAGTTCCTGTTTGCAGTGGCTCACCCTCTCCTACACTGAACACATCCCCATAAACATGTTCACATTTCATTGGATGCCTGGATCAGATATCCTCTCTCCTTTCTGTTCTGAAGAGAGAAGAGATGCAAAGAGCTTCTCTCTGAGAGCAAGCATGGCAATGGCTGATATAGGTGCCTGTCTTTCCATTAATGCAGGGGAAATGCCAACATCCTTTTGTAGCCCTGCCTCTTTTCACTCTGAGACATACTGGTCATTTTATCTTACGCCACTCCCCACAGCAACCATTTTCTGAGTGGCACCAACAGCCCTTTCTCAACAATCCAAATGTGCCAACTGACTCAATATGTTTAGTGACCCCACACATGGCAGGAGGGGGAGGAATCCAACATGCTACATCCTGGTCACACTGCTGAAACCACTAGTTGACATGCTTGTGTGGTTGGGTTAGCTCTGGGTGGGCTTGCTTGCCCAACTCCTTATGTAACGTAGGATGCCACATGACCTGTTGCTATGTTGGTGCAAAGCAAATTGTCTCCCATACTATCACAACTATATATATCAGTAAGAACAGGCTGCTACTATGTTCAGTACAGAGATTTGATTGCCCCTCTTATCAGATAGCTGTGTAATATAATAAGCAAGGCAGCAAATGTGTCAGCAGCTACTTGCGTGTAAAGAGTCAACTATGTAATCTCCAAAGCTAGGTAGCTCTCCATTCCTTAATGAAGTGCAAACACTATAAGTTTCTAAAAACATATAAGTAGATACACAAAGAAGGTCCACAGGTCAGCGACAAAACACCTACTTTTCACAGAGATGGTAACATCCAATTTCTGGCATCTCCAGGTAGGGGTGGGAGAGAACTCAGCCTGAAACCCTGGAGAGCATCCATAGCAATGTGTGCCAGTCTAAACTTTTCCTATGATTTATTGCTGTAGATCAGAGGTTCCCAAACCTATTTGGCCTACCACCCCCTTTAAAAAATGATAATTACTCAGCACCCCCTGGGAATCTACTTTCTTTAAGCAAATAAACAGAAAGGTGCAGTGACAATTTTGCATTCTTTTATATATCTACATTTATGCCTACAACTTCTTGAAAAATAAGTTAACAAGCAGCTGAATCCCATGCATGTTCACTTGAAGTAACAGTCCACTACGCTCCAACGGCATCCCACAGCCCACCTTCCATTGGCTGAATGGGCAGACAAGCTGCGATCCACTTCCTGGGCCAAGCCGAGGAAAACCCTTCGCCTCCAGCACAACCACCGGATCCAGGGGAGGCATTGTCACTATCCCAC